CGGTCCCAGGAAACGTCAGGACAGACATCCTGTCAACTCCAGAACGCCCGTGATCGCCAGAGTCAACGCCGGTCCCGTAGCTATGCAGAAGACGTCACTTCAGTAACTCATTGAAACGTTTTTGCAATACAATGATGTAGCTAATCAAAGGAAAAAAACATATCCATCAGTTCTAACAACATGCACGATGAGCTGGGCAACAAAGCATAGCGTAGGGCCCTGAGCTTGCAAGCTCTCTCGTTTCAGGATTACCCAAAGGCTAACGCCTATCTGGGGGATCTCCTATACATTGTCAGCTCCTACGTCGTTAGATACAATGTAGGGGGCTGTAGCGGAGTGTAGGACCGGCTCGTCAAAAATAGAGAACCTGAACAAGCGTACTCGGGACGTCTCAGCAATCGTAGTATGTTTGAGCACTCCTATAAAAACTTGATCAATGGCAAAATCGTTCCCCACAGAAAAATCATACTTTGCGCGTCTTGCGTTGCACGCTTGGAGGTGGAGTACAGAAGGCGAGTCGATCCGAGTATGACCTTTCGGACTGGACTGGACTGAACTATTCCAAAAATAACAACGAGGGGTCAAGGGTGCGAGTCAACCCCTGTGACACGGATTTCTGTGCCGTGTCACCTCCCTAGTTTGAGTACGACTCCCTGATAGCCATGCTAGTACAGTAGGTATCGGTTATAGCGTGGGTGTTTGAAAAACGACATTTGATTCTTATTGCCGATATTTCTTACACACGATAAATCACGTGTGACATATCATATGCACGTGTGACATCATACATGTACGTACATGTATGCGCGCACGTTTGGCATGTGGACATGTACACATGATACACGTACACACGGATTAATCAGACTCGCGGTCGTGCTAGGCGACTGCGGAGCAGCGGATACGAGAGAAGTCGGAAGAAACAGTCCGTGCGCCAAATTCAAAAAAGTCGTCTAGAAGTTGCACTTTTATTTGCAACCGCGGGAAATTTGAGAGGTCTGGAGAAGAAAATTCTCAATGGGACTCAAAATTGACAAGCAAGACGACGACCAGCGCTCGAGCATAGTACCTTTTCGCCATTCCTTTGTGCATGATACCCATTCTAATTGATAAACACTACCCTCATGTTTCGTTTCATGCGCAACGGACGAAGCGAAGTGTCTTTTTTCGTCCACGAAAGAAAGGTAAGGAAATTGTCGTCTTCGCGACACCCTTCGGATTATTTAGTGGGGCATTGTGGGCCAAGGGTATTTTTTCTTTTTCTTTACAACTGTCCCCAGGTACTGAGACGGCGCTGATATCCTAGGAGTTCTGTTGGTGCAAAATGCCAGGTTACTGACTTATGGCGAGGTTTGTCCACCCAAAAATATGGGAGATTTCATGGATAACATACACACATAATACAGTGAATGGTATTGCAGTGGGCATCCAAAACGGTTGAACCAAACAAATATGGTATGATACCTAGAGGCTAGGCACACAAAAATCACTCAGGAATTGGACGCAAGTCCCGGGGCCTTGGTGCGTCACTACACCCGGACATTGAATGTTTGCCGGCGCACTGCTTTTGCTTCACCACTTCATACAAGTGTACGCACTCACTCAATTCGAAAGACTGGAACGAGACCAAACCGAATGTGACAACTAAGAGCAAGTTGTGCATTTGTTGGAACAACGTTCGGGCATTGCGAGAAGGATATCAGCAGGGTCCAACAATGGCAGCAACAGCACCAGGTGACGATGGAGTACCAAGGAGCTTGTATCATGCACATTACAGTGAGCAACAAGAGAAACCGTACTGTGGTACGTGAGATCAGAGCCTGGGCAGGATGATCGACACTGTGCACTGTGCTACAGCGCCTCAATTGTGCGAGAGAAAACAAACAGACCAGCAAGCACAGATCATGAACTGGTACACAACATTGACAAAGCACAAACCCAGCAAAGTTACAGGGCATAGCCGAGCGTTTCGTTGCCAATAAATTGCTTGAGAAGGGAGCAGTATTCCTTGCAACATTGCATGGAGTATACGAGAACGCAGAGTCAGAACCAGGCGTAACAAAGCAAGACGGCTACTGTACAGGGGACAGGCTTGGCGATCACTTGCATACTCGCACTTTTGGTACAACCAGGAAATTAGGCATCACGTCATACCGAAGTGGCTTCGACACGCTACATTGCATTCATAGCTGTACGGTGAACCTGTTACACGAGCTTCTGTGAAACAGACAGCATGCCAATGACCTGCAAGCACCAACAAACGCAGCCGGTAAAACAAACACTACATCACTGCCCAACATAAACTTGTACATGCTGATGAGAAGCAAGAATGTGCTTGATGTTGGAAGTTATGCTCGCATATTCAAAAACATGCATGGAAAAACATCAATGACATTGTTCACGAATACAACAGATACATCATACAGGGAGAGTAAGTAATCCTTCCTCCGTTTTGTATACGCGCACGTGCGCGTGGTAGAAAACCCAGCTACACTGTGACCGGTATAATCGCGGTCGTTTATCTGGCAGTCAGTCACATGGCATGTCGGGTATCCAACAGCACCGCACTGACAGCTTATGGACCTCATATTTAGTATTTATAGTCCTACTTCAAGTAAATGTAGACAGTCAGCATCATGAAAGCTGCCATTACGTAGAGTTAAATACAAGCCAGTCTCTAGAGATGAGCACGACTGTCTCAGGGTAATACTAGTGATAAATACAGGTACTTCGAAGTACTGTCTTTTTGATCTGTTAACACAAGATGGCTTTGTAGCTTCAGTCGTTCAGAATATTCATTTTATTCCGCGGGTGCCGCATAATTTACACGCAACTGTACTTGAGCAAGTCTCCAAACGCTACGTAATTGGCCGACATTTACTTGTCCACGGTGATGATAAGCACGGCTCCTACTTTTTAAATTATGAAAGGATTACATACGCAGGTACATCCACACAATGTGCACTATCCTGAAGTCGTGCGCAAATATTCAAAATCATTCACCGAACACAGAGAGGCGCACATACCGTAAAGTACCGCAAGAGCGCCCCACCTTGATTTTGCCGCGACAGATTTTACAGCCAGGGAAAGGAAAATCGTATGGCAGAGTGCAACGAAGTTCGTACGGTGTGAGCAACTTAGTGTATTACGGTCACACTAAGCAGGTTTTTGTGTGAAGCTCGTGTCCGCTCGAAGGTACGGATTGTCTGCAGAACGTGCAATATGTGTACAAAGTTTGTGTCGTATAACCTACAGACAGGAGACCACCTCCACAATACGACCCCGAAAGGACGAGATGGTGGGGCGCTCTGGCGGTACTTTACGGTACATGTAAATACGAAGGAACCACATGCGCAGCAAGGAGATTAGTCATTACTTTACTTATGAGTTGATGGATAGAAGTTTCCTTTCAGCTGACCATTACCACTCCTGAAAGCAATAGTGAGTGCTGTTGTTCTGATTCACAGGTATATACTCGGCCCTTAGCGCAATGTGTTTTCGAAGCTAGGCACATAATTTGCCAGATACTTTCGTAATTTTTTTAATTCCTGTCCTCTCTTTTCTAAATGCGGCTTATCCATTCGCCTTTATAACATTGGGTCTAGTTCCCGCTTATTGTGTGAATTAAAATAAACCAACCAACCCAGCAACATAGCAGATCGACGGATTTGGTCGAGTTGATCGACAATCAAGATCAGAATCAAAATCTGGACGATGAAGGCTGATCAGCAACACGATATTTGCGTACATTTACCCGAGTTGCCGGAGTTCGCAGCATGTAGCAAGGTGTGGGTTTTCCTCAGGTTCGGCGAGGAGCGAGCGTACGTCTGCTTGTTGTAATTTTCTTGTCGAGCAACTATTTGTCTCCAAAAGGTCGACACTATAATCAGTGACAATGCAGAGCTTGTTGACCGCGCAGCGTTTGGTCTCAGCGCGACTCCATTGACCTGGCAAGGAGGATATTTTGAAATCAGCTCGTAATGAAAATTCGATTTCTAGCACTCGGATGACTATGCTCAAAACCCCAATAATGACTATTGTGTTGAGATCATCACGTTATCTGCTTGCAGGAATATAGATCAGGTGGGAATAGAGACATTATGTCGATAGGAATCAACTTTATTCTCTTTGTCGAGCTATGTCGCTCCGGCAACAGAATGGTCCGAAAACTAGGATCTCTTCTTGGCGAAGAGGCTGACGTAGCACGGAGGAAGCAGCTTGCTTCAGCGGCCTTCACTTCAATGTGCAACCTTTGAAAACGGAGATCTGCTGTGAGTGAGCGTCCGCGCCTGTGACTGTAGTCGGCGTTCGTCCTACCCGTCCTCGCGTACAACTGTGGCACTTGGGACCTCACGCAATCTGCTTTCCAGAAGTTGGATGCCTTCCACCGACGTCAGTTGCGGTCTCTCCTTGGCATCAAATGGCCACAGCGCATCTCCAATGAAGCACTGTCCCAGAGGTGCCAAATAGAGGAGATCAGCATCTTCATCCGCCGTGCCAGGTGGCGTCTATTTGGTCACATCTTGAGGCTGCCACCATCAACCCCCGCAGTAATGACAATGGAATTTTTTTCGCAAACAACAGCACCAGATGGCTTGGCCGGCCACGCGTCACTCTTCCCAGCGTGCTGCATCAAGATCTGCAGAAAGCCGGGAAGGGTAGACTCCTGACTCTGGGAGATCTCCATTCGCTCCTGGTAACAGTTGCCTGTCGTAAGAGCTGGAAGGCTCTGCGTGAGGCAATATGTTCATCTAACTAGTTACAAATGAATGTACTTGTAATCGCATATTAGCCCGGTAGTGCAACATCAAATCAACCGGATATATCTCCTTAATTTGCTCATCTCCCTATGTTTCTCTCTCTCTCCCTCTCATACTCTCTCTCTCTATCATTCTCTCCCTCTCTCTCTCATCTACACCGGTGGGTGAGACGCAGATCTCACTGTAACCCAAACACTTGACGTACAATGTACATCTTATCCAAATCCTACTTTGTTCTCCCAGATATCTCAAGAATAATCAACTTGTTGACCTACCTGACGGGCTGTTCAAAGCCACAACCGAATTACAAACCCTGTAAGTCATGGTGGGCATGTATCGGAAAAGAGGTTTTTTGCGTAGTTCTGTCCAGTTGTCTTTGAGGCATCAAGACGAGGTAGAAGCGGGTGGTCTGCATTGGGACGAAAGTGAACTGTCATCAGTGCAGGTGCGCAAGTGAACGCTGTGTCCAGTAGGTCCATCGTACACTGCATTTCTTGGAAGAGAGACATGCTCTCTTAATGATTATGAACATGGTAGTAGATGAGTGGGGAAGAAGTGAAAAATCAAGCTTGGGTCGTAGATACAGTATGACAGAGAGAACAAAAGGGGAAAGGGAGAAAACAGGAGAGAGAGAGAGAGAGAGAGAGAGAGAGAGAGAGAGAGAGAGAGAGAGAGAGAGAGAGAGAGAGAGATGGAGAGAGAGACAGAATGAGAGAGAGAATGAGAGAGAGAGAGATTGAGAGAGAGAGAGAGAGAGAGAGAGAGTGAGAGAGTGAGAGAGTGAGAGAGAGAGGGGGGAGAGGGGAGAGAGAGAGAGAGAGAGAGAGAGAGAGAGAGAGAGGGAGGGAGGGGGGGGGAGAGAGGAATGAGAGTGAGAGGGGGGGGGGAGGGGAGGGGAGGGAGAGAGAGAGATATCGAGACAGAGATCGATCAGTATGTGAGAGTAGCTGACTGAGTTACTGCTCCGCTGCAATCACCTCTAAATGTAGTGCACGTATAAGAGCCTGGAAGGTCCGCTTTCCACCCTCAGTTCTGACGCTGACGGGAAGAGCATTCCACTGGACAATTGCCACAAACCAGATGGAACGTCGCCCGAAGGGACTGCGGAGAAAATGCACACATAGCAGATTGGACTGCTGCCCTCAAGTTGCCCGGATGTTGCTGGGGACGCCAACTGGAGCTGTGCCTGTGAACATCTCCTAAAGCAGTGGGCTAGCTTTGTGGTGGAGACACTGATGAACTTGGACCAGAAACCTTTGATTTAGCAGTTGCAGTAGGCTGGGGACATCGGCAGGGATAGAAGAGGGGCTGTGGGCACGAGATTACGCTGTTGGAGGGTTGACTGTAGACCTCTGTTGGAGAGTTTGGAGACTTGATCAAGAAGGGTTGGACTCCGCAAGAGCCGCTATCGTAAGGTGGCACCGATGCCAGCCTTGAACATCTTTTCAAACGGACCAAGCAGGTGTGTGCTAGGTCCTGGAAAGAAACTGTTTGAACCATAACACAGCTGGGAAAGGACCATGCTCAGGAACCATGTTCGCCGGGCAAGAAAACTCAGTCCTCGTCCATGCCTCCAGCGCTGACCAATTGTTCGCGCTGTCTTGCGACCAATATACTCCACATGTGGAGCCCAGGATAATTCCTTATCCAGGACTAAATCAAGGTACTGGGCTGTAGGGGTCACACAGAATTTCTCGGCATTGCAGAAGACCTCCGGTTGTATTGCAGCCGTGCCTCGTGGCCGGATGAAGAGCCACTGTGTCTTGGGAGTGTTGAGGAGCAGGCCAATGTTCTCCAGCCAGGTAGCAAGGTTTGTCATGGCGTGCGTGAGGGTTCTGCACACCATAGCAGGGTCAGAATGGGAGCAGTCGATGACAATGTCATCTGCAAATTATTGGTGCTGTACAGACGGTGGCAGTATGGTGTGGAGTTCACTAGTGTAGAGCACAAAAAGCAGTGGCCCAAGGACGCTACCTTGTGGAACACCACGGGAGCAACTGATGGCACCACTACCAGAGTCCAGAACTTTGACATTCTGGAAACGCCGTGAGACGTAGTCAGCGAACCAATCCAGGCCGTTCCATGCAATACAAAGGGAAAACAAAACTGGAACTAGACGTTCATGCTTAACACGGTCAAAGGCTTTCGACATATCAACTAACACTGTCCCAGCGATTTCTCGTTTGCATCGATCTGGAGCGGGAAAAGACGGACCTTGCCGCCACGGTACGGTTTTTGACAGACGACGCCAGCAATACAGCAGTGCAAGGCGGACCAGTCAGTGCACCATTGACCTCTGACGCGGCAAATGCAGGACCGGTAGTTCAACTCGAACCATACAACCTCTCCGACATCATTGCAGAGGAGGTTGAGAGGTCCAACCGTACTACCAGCGTCATAGTACGAGGACTGCCTGCATCATGGAATGAAACCCTATCCCTGCATTGCAGTACTCTGTTCAAATGTTCGACCTCTGACCTGCTGGAAGTCGAACGTTGGCGCCCACGCGCTACTGAACATGAGACTCCAGCGCCAGGTCCAGCTCCTGTCAGAGTACGCTTTGGAAACAAGCGCCTCAAGGCGTCAGCGTACAAGGATCGCCTTGGCCTGAAAGTGAATGGACATGATGTGTACGTCAACAACGACCTGACTCGACAACAGCAAACGAAGCGGAAGGCAGTACTACCGAAGTATAAGCAACTTCGAGCCAAAAAGGTCAAGTGCTCTCTGCCTTATGACGTCATATTGGATGACAAAGGGACACCTCTCTCTGACAATGCCATCCAGGATCTGCTGTCTGCTCAATAGGACATATCAGGGAACCCCCAGCCAGACAACCGCGCCGTCCTCAAAGTTGCTCATATAAACATCTGCAGTCTACGAAACAAAGTTCATGAAATCCATCATATCCTGCATGCCAATAAAATTCACATCATGTCAATTAATGAAACCTGGCTAGACAGCTCAGTATCAGATTCCCTGCTGAACATCCCTGGATATCGGATATATCGGAACGACAGGAACCTAAGGGGCGGAGGTGTGTGCTTGTACGTCATGTCTAGTCTCCGCGCTCGTCTCATCATGCCCGCATCTAACACACATCTGGAGTCGTTGTTTGTGTCAGTTCGCATTGCACGGGAGCCAGATGCGTGTAAGCTCCTCGTGAGTTCAGTCTACCGCCCACCGAGCTCTGGTACAGAATTCTGGGAGCAGTACAGTGCCCAGTTGGATGGCATTTTCGTGGACAGCTCTGACCTGCTAGTTCTGGGAGACTTGAACACGGACATCTTACAACCGACTCTACATCATAATCAGCATCTACTTAAGCTTTGTGCAGAGCACCAGCTGCAGAACATTGTCCACGCACCAACTAGAGCGCCGTCAAACACGTGTCTTGACCTGGCTCTGTTGAACACTACCTTTCCATTGCCCAATCCAACGATCATTCCCATGTCAGATCTTACTGATCACCACCTAGTCCGCCTTGATATTGTAATACCGGAATGGAAGCCCCCAGAAACCCAGAGAACTAAGGTTGTGAGAAAACCAGGAATAGCTACTATCAACTACTCTCAGTTTAATGCTGACCTGAATAATATGCTCGAGGACTCATCCTCATTTTCAACATTGGACAGTCAAACTTGCCATCTTCTAACGTCTATTGCTGCTGTTACTGATACGCATGCTCCATCTAAACAAGTTAGACTACCCCTCTGTCCCAAACCTAAGCCTCAACCGTGGGCAACACCAGAGTTACGGAAACTGCTGCAGCGCAGAACTACTCTGCATCGTAGAGTCCTTTCGCAGCCTGGGAATATGGTTCTTAAGCAACAGTATCGTTCTGTCAGACGTGAGGGGACGCTTCTGAGTAGGAGACTGAAATCCCGTTTCCTGATGCACCAGTTCTCGGCACTCCGACGAAATCCTAGAGGTCAGTGGGCTCTTCTTAACAGTCTGTCCGGCAGGCGGAAAGTAAGAAATCAGCCAATTGCATCTCTCAGTAGTCTGACAGAGACATTTGCTAACATAGTGCACGATCCAAGCCGGCCTGCTGACATATGTTTACGCCCAGCCACCCAACAGCCAACTACTGCTGCTCGACTGTCCCATTTTCGACCCGTAACTGTGGCGCACGTCACCACACTGCTCAAAGCAACAAACACAAGTAAGTCACCTGGCTCTGACAACGTCTTACCAGCCGTACTGAAGCATGGTCGTGATTCCATAGCAGTTTCTCTCACTGATATTATCAATAAATCTCTGAGCACAGGGTGCGTACCAGATATTTTCAAGAATGCCACAGTCAGCCCAGTTTTCAAATCAGGCGATGCAGAAAGCTCTACTAATTACAGACCAGTCTCATTATTGCCCATATGCAGCAAGATATTAGAACGAGTTATCTTGGAGCAGCTGATTGCATTCTTTAAGTTACACAACATCATGTACGTGCCTGACAATCAATTTGCCTACCGTACCAACAGCTCGTGTGAGGACTGCCTAGCGCTAGTGGTCGACGAATGGCTCCAAGCCCTTGATAACAACGAGTACTGCGGCATAGTGTTTGCAGATATGAGCAAAGCTTTTGACCGAGTTAAGCATCAAGAGCTCATTGACGAGTTGAAGATGCTTGGCATTGCTGACACTGCACTTGCTTGGTTTGCAAGCTACCTGACCAGACGCGTCCAGCGAGTAAGAGTAGGACAACAGCTAAGTGGGGCCCGCCCTTGCACAAGAGGCGTCCCACAAGGCTCCGTGCTCGGCCCATTGCTATTTTGCATTTACACCCGTGACGCACCACAGTGCTTCCAACATGCATTAAATCAACTTTATGCCGATGATATCACACTCTATATCAGGCACAAGTCCATCCAGATCATCACAACCCAGCTGAGTGCTGACCTTGCCGCTCTGGACCGCTACCTAGATCAGAAGGGATTGGTGTTAAACCCGTCCAAGACTCAGTTTGTCCTGCTCAGGCGACCGAGCACGGAGCTGCCACCTGGCACCACAGTCAACTGCCGGGGCACTTCCATAGTCCCATCTGCTTACGCTCGGTACTTAGGAATACTGGTTGACGAACATCTGTCTTTCTCAACCCAAGTGGATGCAGTATGTGCAAATGTCAATAGGAAGGTTGGAGCATTTGTCCACGCAAAGCAGAATATCAGCATTTTTGGCAAACGACTTTTCTATTTATCGATCATTCAGTCCACATTTGAGTTTGGCAGCACTGCATATATTCATTGCTTATCACAAGCCCTATATGACAAGCTTCTTACTGCCAGCCGCGTAGCATTAAAGAGAATATTTTCGTT